TGGCTGAAATATTGCCGATGTGGCGTTAAATATTAACCCACTCACTCACTCCAGTTTGACAGCAACGTGATTGGCAAGAGTCAGAAAAAGTATGCGGACGTCGCCTTTGAAATGTCTCGCTTGCATCCCAAGTACACTGTCGTTGACACTATCGACGACATCCCGGCCGAGCTACTGGAATCAGACTCTGTCATTAACACATTACATAATCTGTTTAACGTGTGTTTTAGTACTGGACAGGTACCTAATATATGGTCCAAAGGAATCATAACGCCAGTCTCGAAGTGTTCCAATATGGACCAGAGATCCCTTGCATATCGAGGCACCACTCTGACAACCTCGATATATAAGCTGTATTGTAGTGTTCTGAACAGGAGACTGAATACGGCCCTCCACTTATGTTTTTAACTGTCATTTTCCGTCATGTCCTCTACATTGTTTATGGCATTAACATCTTTATAGATTTTATTCAGCTATTAACAACTGTATAATATGATATAAGTACACATCCATATAGTTATGCATTTCCCATCGATCAGTCCTGTACGTTAACATTACTCAATATCGTGTCCGCCATATTGTTTAGATAACAGACAGGCCGTTTCTTCAATTTCTGGCTTACAAATGCGCTATTGAACCAATGAGATGTCTTGCTAAATATAGATACAGTAGTAATACGATTGACAAGGCAATGTAGTGTGACCTTTAAGAGTGAGTGAGTGAGTTTAGTTTTACGCCGCACTCAGCAATATTCCAGCTATATGTAAATAATCGGATCTGGACTAAACAATCCAGCGATCAACAGCATGAACATCAAACTACCCAAATGGGATACGATGACATGTGTCAACCCAGTCAGCGCCGATCCCGATCCCGTTACTAGCCTGTTACTACAAGCATGGGTTACTGAAGATAAATTCTAACCTGGATATTCACGGGTATGAGACCTAAAGAACAAAATCAATTAGTGTTGCAATATGTACCACATGTTTATACGTTTTTGACAAGTTATCAGTTAACATATAAAATATATGTGACAACGCATATATGTCAAACTCACCAGACATCAGCGGTCCAGACAATAGCAGCACACATATTCCAACGAAACAAGGTATGTTCATAATGACGCCCTGATGCAAGACCCACGTTAGTAGCCCAACACACAGTGTAACTGTAAAATCTGTTTGTGTACACCCTGTCACACAGGTAATGCTCCAATGAAAAGAACGTAACGAGATTGCATCACACACATTACGGATGTGACCTAGAAACGACTTCATGTCGGTAGTCACAACAACACACGGACAAAGCACACAAGCATAATCAATATAGCGAAATAATCTTGCTTGGTAGGTCAACATGATCCAGTCAGAGTTACATTTATAGGTTGTATTATTTTGTTTCTTGGGAGGTTGTGTTTTGCTATAACTGATCACAGGATTTATAACAAAAGAGGAAGAACAAGGCAAGGAAAATCACTGTCATTGTGACGTATTATGTCAATGCAAAAATTACAGGGAATTGAGGTGAAAATTTGTGAGAGATTCTAAAATAGATTCACAAATGACAGTATGTGATCAGGTGGTTAGCACTAATATTTGAAATAAACCTTGTATTCAACAAGCCTTGGTATTATTACTGATACCGGGTTTTCGCTATCGCTTAAGGCAGACGCTTGATGTCTTACTTGTGCAAGTTAACTGGTACTGTGTTACACTGGTTTTGGCAGTATTCCGATAGTATCACAACATTGGGACTTGTATTCATACGTTATGGAGTACTGAACACTGGTGTTGTTCTAGCCTAGTTCTGCCAACTTGGTGCCCTTCGCCACGATACAAAGCTGTCAAATAACAGCCCCAGTGCACTCCAATAGACCATAGGAAATGCAAATGTTTGGGTCGGATTCTCGTCATTAGGGAGTGGTTATATAAAAAATAATTCAAGATTATCATCTTGAACACACAAATAAACAAACAAACAAACAAACAAGCACGCAAACAAACAATAGCTTTGCATGTAAATACAATCTTGCTGGTTTGGGCGGTTCGGAAACATTGAATGTAATTGTGTTCTTATTTCAAATAAGATTTCGTAGCCTCCCCAGTACTGAATTTGTTTGACACTATTTTCAGATAGTATGATGTCTTGGGCTCATGAAATGACCTGTAATACTCTCAGATTGTTGTATCAGATTTTTTTAACAGGCCATTATATGTGGTGGGGGTCTGCGAGCATTTTCGTCACATCTGATTTGCTGTCCAAAAACACCTCAAAGTTAATCATGGATAGTTTTACTACTATCAATCCGATCACTTTCAGTTTGACTTTTGTGTATTGCTAAAGGATGTAGAAAGTATTTGACATATATTTGTTTGTGAAATAAAATCAAAATGGACTTATGGAGGAGACACTCTGGTCGCCGTAGGGTTTGGTTTTAGGAGGATGCTATCTGTTCTATTTTCTATTGTGGTGCCAGTTTAGACAATATTTTGTCTTCTGCAAGATTGCCAAGCATGGTAGAATGCTTGATGCATGTCATCGTGGCCCACTTGTAAAGATTGATGCACTGTGTGTCAATCACTTACTTGTCTGGGACAGACTTGATAATTCAAAACCCATTGTCATAGAGCTTACATACTATGTTTGAAAAAACCCAGACATTCCTTGTGATGAAGGTATTTCTATTCCCGACCAACGGATTGATCACCAGTCGGATGTTATTTTAAACATATATCTAACTTAGGACGACTGTAAGGAAATATACGGTATGTTGGACGTTAAATATGTGTGGAGAAAGCAACACTGTTCACAGCATAAAACGCTCTGTCAATAATACCTCCGGAATGTACGTGTCCTTTACTGTTGCGTCAGCTGTGGTAGTGGTCTCCTTTACTGTTGCGTCAGCTGTGGTATTGGTTTCATTTACTGTTGCGTCAGCTGTGGTAGTGGTCTACTTTACTGTTGGACCCGTGAAGGTCTGGGTTAGAATTGGGTTAGGATCGATGCTCATGCTGTTGATCACTGGATTGTTTGGTCCAGACTCGATTATTAACAGACCGCCGAAATATATCTGGAATACTGCTGAGTGCGGCGTAAAACTCAACTCAACTCTTTTATTGTTGCGTCAACTGTAATAGTGGTCTTCTTTACAATCATACCAGCTGTGGTAGTGGTCTTCACTGTTGCGTCAGCTGTGGTAGTGGTCTTCTTCACTGTTGCGTCAGCTGTGGTAGTGGTCTCCTTCACTGTTGCGTCAGCTGTGAGTGGTCTCCTTAAATGTTGAGTGAGGAATAGTCGTTGTCTTCGTCATTGCTGCATTAGATGTAGCGGATGTTTCCTTTTCTGTCTCGTCAGCTGCAGTTGTGATTTGTTTTACTGTCTCGTCAGGAGTGATTGTGGTCTCATTTACAGTGGTGGCAGCACTGGTTTTGGTCTCAATAACGGCCGCGTCAGCTGTTATGTTGTTAGATATGGTCGTTCTTTCATAGACTCATCATTGAGTATTTGTCATTGTTTCCAAGCCATGTGCGGTCTTGGTTGTCGACACTGAACAGGTTGAGAATCATCAGTTGTGCTATTGCTGCAATAAAACGTATTGGAATTCTCGTTATCTTATTGTCAGTGGCTGTACCCTCAAAGGGGGGTTAAAGTACTGTAAAATTATTGTCCTCCTGAGAGGGTACGTAAGTCCCAAAACATTCAAAGTAAATTTACAGCTACTACTATTTTAATCGTAGAATATATGTTCGTTTAATTTGTGGCTAGATTATCTAAAATTGCTAATAGCTGAAGGGATGGTGTAATTCCAGCTAGGGTCCATGCAGGAAGCAAATGTACTGTAAGTCACCATGGTCCCTAGTATGGTGATCTACCTTCAGTTGTTGGCAATATATAGCCTGTTTTTACCTTGTATTGTCAACTATAATTAAACTGTTTTAGATTTAGTTCCTAGTTTTAAATTATTTTCTGTGATAATCTAGTTATTTTACTGTCCTTAGTAGGCAGGCATTTATAATTTACTATCACTTAATTGTGTACTAATTAATTTTCTCGTCATAAGAAATTTGCATGTGACGATAAATCTCACTCACTCACTCATATTACTATTTATAAAATTCATTGTTCTCGTCACGATATGGCTGAAATATTGCCGATGTGACGATAAATTTTAACTCACTCACTCACTCAATCAGTAAAGTCTTACGATTTACCCTTGACAGAATTACGAAACACGCACATACCCGCGCAATAGTACATGCATTTGGAATAAATTCACATGCCAATAATAATAATCATAACATAACACGGACAAGATGCATCATTTGAAATGCAAAATATTTTCATTACAAAAACAATAACAAAATATTAAAATATACAACATCCAAAGGGCTATTCTAAGGTGTATTTCCTTGGGGGCATTGTTTGTGGTATCCATTCACAATTATCACATGTTTGGGACAATCTATATTTAAAAGCGATCATTCGGTGAAAGATCTTTCACTTCCAAAAGGTTACATCCATTTCTTGGATATTCAAAATTTAACACTCGTACATATTCCTTAAAATAATTCAAATGATTAAAACAAATGTTAAAAATTCAACAGCTGTGTATATTACACTACGAAAACATATTATCACAGGTACATTTAAAGATAACATGTAAGTGGGGGACATATTGTATAACGTCATTAATATGCTAATTTGTTATATTCTAGTATGTCTAGCCAATCAACATTTTAAACCTTGGCTCTAATGACAAAGTGTTATTTATTTTGACTGAGTGATTGAGTTAATATATAAAGTCACAATGACAATATCTCCGCTATATAGTGACGAAAACAATTTATACAATAAAAATGAAAACATTTTGAAGAGTAAAATCTGTCGATGATGGACAGTAAAATACTAGAGTAGCACAAATATGAATATAAAACTTGTAAAAGCATGTAAATCTAAAACATTTTAATTGAAGAAAACATTTCAATATAAAACACGCGCTATAGATTGCCCACAACTGAAGGCTATTTATTTTTAGCATTAAATGATCATCAAATAACAGTTTTTAACAAAAGAACAACAACATAAACATCCCTGTAAAAAGAGTTACAAGGATGAAGACACTGCATGAGCATACACGAAGGTGTATTGTTCTGTTTTCTCCAGTATTATAAACATGTACGTCATGTGACACTGTCACTCAACTGGGGCCTGCTGGGTTATCTATCCCTTGATGCTCAGATGCACGGCTATGGGATGACGTCACAACAGGCTGTATGTCTGATAGTGGAACTGCCTGACAATATGGTGGGGAGTCATCCTTCACGACATCATTGTAAGAAGGAGGTGGTGGAAACATGAACGGCAGAGCAATAGAAGCAGTAGGCGTAGATTGCGGGTTGCTGGGGGCGTTGATGAAATAGACGGTGCCTTCATATGATCTATTCCTCTGCTGTTGGTCGTTGGGACTGGATTTCTTCCTGGAACAAAGTCCACAGCAGCAGCAGGTTGCAATACCCACAGCTGTGATACCGCCAAACACACCTCCCAGTATGGCTGCGATGTTCGTGGACGCGGCAGCTGAATAAGAAACAAAATAATAAATAGAACAAAATAAATAATAAAGCAAAAACAGGGCAGGCAAAAGCAAGGCCGTTTCTAAATATTGCATTCTCTGAGACCGTAATCCCCGAAAATGGGTCTATAGTTATTGTTAAAAGTCGTCTGCTTTAAGTACTTCTAAGTATTGTTTTGAGGTGGAATCCTACACGTTTGGTAACATAGTATATTACTGCAACATTATTGTGGTGTTGTGGTCTACTGTGTTTCATTACAAAGGTAAGAAAAGATGTCAAACCCTGATTTGTCTGATATTGCCGTTGTTGTGGAGACTTCAGGACATGGGGGAGATTGTCAAGGGGTAGATTGTCGTGTACAAAATGGGAACCGTGGTGTTTTAAACTAGAGTTAATGTACAAATTTACATCACTGTATGAGGCTGAGCCATCGCAATACCGGCGTGATATAGGTGACAATCACCATTAAATCAACTTCACTCTGAACTGACATAGGTCAAAGGACAATTACGATGAAACGACACAATTACATGTACACCCGCTAAACCCTGGACAACCGTTCTGGCCAGATGGGACAGTGTATGTCTGTTTGACTTAAGGCTTCTTGGAGTGAGTACGTTTTGCCCGCCACTTTTAGCAATATTCCAGCAATGCATTCTGAAATGAACGAGTAAAACTGAAACACATACAGTCATATGTTGGTACGCCGGCAGTGAAGGACAACTTAAATCCCGAACGGGAAGTCGAACCATCGGAGTGGAATTGAACCTTCATTGTCTGTCCTGTAGTCTGTGTATTTGGTCCATCTCTTCCACACCATCGACCGATCGAGCTTTCATAACTCGTGACTGTTGACAGCAAAGAACATGTGAGAAGATTGTAGTAATTAAACAAACAGTCAGCTAACATTTGTTAGGAGGTACATTGCTTAAAAATGTCTATAATATGTTCTCATTTGGGAGATGACATTTAGTTTCTCCAAATCACATTACTATCTATGCCCAAATTATAATAACATAAGCTTAAATTATCGTAAAAAATATAGATAAGATCTCGAAATCGGACATATCACAATGATGAATCCAAATGACGCTTTCAAGCAAGACGTATACTACGCTAGGTCAACGTGGACATCATATCCGCGTAAATGTCGGCGTGCCACCTTAAAAGGTACACAGGTCGCTGAGGTTTTTTAATTTGATGAAAAGGACACAGCTTAAATTCACTTTAGGCAACTGTCTCTTTTACCCATTTCTAGGATAACCATGACTAATCCTAAGTCATTACCATCATAGAGTTGTACATAATCATAGGAACACGTGCTGTCGTACTCAATGTTGAAATACTCTACTTCAACATGGATTACATATCCGTCAATGGATGTGCTGATTGTCCACTCACAGTCCGCATTGCTAAAATTGAAACAGACATTGGTATTAGCCATGTGTTCAGCATAACATATGGAAATAAGAGAAGTTCGGCGCAGAAGTGGAAACTAATTATAGCATGATCTGGCGACTAGTGTTGAACTCAACATCAGAAGCATTGCAATTATAAATGCTTCATACAGGTTATGTCAAATCATCGTAATAAGGCAACAGGGTTTACTGACTGCAAACTTTCAGTTTCCATACTCGCTGGAATTAAAATTTAGCAATCCCCTGATCACGGAATGTCGCAGAGTTTATTCCTTCGTCTGAATTGTTGATTAATTTCTGAGTTAATTTAAGGAAGGACAAACATATTTGTATGAACTACTTCTATATTAACAAAGCATTTGTTCATTGCTATACTAATTATAGCTGCGACTTTTAAATGCCTCTCAAAGAAGTTGCTTTAATCTATAGGAATGTTTTTGATGGAATTATTGTAGGTACAATGTTTCATATATTATTCGTTGTCCAAGTCAATTGTATTATTGTTTGTGTATTTCTTTCAGTTCCTCGAGGTATGAATCGAACTATAAGTGTTCCATATACTTACTCGGGATAGGACAGAGGATGATTCGGTGATTCAATATATTTTGTCTCATAGCTTATCATATCATTTTCGCCACACACTGAAACAAGAAGTATCTCTATGATATTAAACAGTTCTGCAACACTGGGTTTGTGTGAAGTTTATGTGACATTGAACGAGTGAGCATCTATTAACTTCGCCTTAAGGAATATTTCAGCAATCTCGCGGCAAGGGACACCAGAAATGGGCTTGACTCATTACCCATGTGGGCAATCGAACCCGTGGCGTCGGCCACAAGGCCACAAGGCAACCCACAACACCTCTGCGATGACGATGCTCTAGGAGATACTTGACCATTCACCTTTTCAAGCACCATAAAAAAGGGAAGATTTGATAATATATACATATATCAGGTGTAACTATTTCTTTTACTATTTCATTGTCATTGAAAATGGAATTCTAATATCATTACATTAAATCATTGACTTTATGAGAATTCCATCTAGCGTATCATTGACCATACCACCTACATTAATATAATGGTCATGCTTTAAACCAACAGTTCAGTATATACAATGAATCCATATGCAGTATGCTACGGTTAAAACGAACTCAATGGACCACTAGTTTTAGTTTTACTTCGTTATAACCGTATTATTTCAAGCACACTATGCAGCAAGTGACCTGGCCCAAAACATCCCGAGTTGGTTTACGTGAGTGAGTGAGTTAATATTTAACGTCACATCGGCAATATTGCAGCCATATCGTGACGAAAACAAGCCAAACAATAAAAAGTAGAAACATTTTGATGATTAAAACCTGTCGACGATGGACAGTAAAAAGACTAGAGAATCACAGTTATAAATATAAAACTAGCGCAAAGTTAAAATATTCCACTTAAAGAAGACAATACAATAGACAATACAATATATAATACGGGCTATAGATCGCCAACAACTGAAGGTAGATCACCATACTAAGGCCCATGCCGAGTTGGTTTAATCGGTTGGTTCGTTATAAACGTATTCATTGTAAACGTAGTTTATTGTGCACACACAATAGTAACAAAGTATGATTGAATGCAATTCTTGTGTCCTTTAAGGTAACAGAGTATGATTGAATGCAATTCTTGTGTCCTTTAAGGTGGAAGAAACTAATGGAATGAACATCTGCATTATCTTTTAACATAAAAAATTGTTTGCAGAGATGTGTATATATTGCTGATTCGATGGAAAACTAATGTGGGTTGTCATGTATAAAGCAACACATGATGAGTCCACACTTTGCTGATATCATTTCAGGAGAATATATAAAAAGTGTAAAAATAATCCGAGAAACGTGAAGGCTTATCTGAAGATATACTTTTCTTCTCTGAGGGAGGCAATCAGTTTCCTTTTTTACACATATTTACATAAGGGTTTTGTTTGTTTGTTATTTAGCGCCACACTCAACAATATTCCAGCCAAAAAGTGGCGGTCGGTAAATAATCCGAATCTGGAGCAGACATCTTTACATAAGGCCACACATTATGTCCAGCATCAGCATAAGATTAATCATACCCAATGTTTCAGCGTTTTTCTGTTCAATTGATTTGAAAACAATGTTGGGGGAAAAAAGTGTTCAAATATGTTAGTTCATGAAAGAGGAAACGCATATACATTGATATAGAGTCAAGCACCTTTCGTCAACGCAATGTATTTCAGAAAAAATCCTTTGTCTGTGACAGAACTGTCAGTGCTGAAAGTGATGGTCATGGCGTTGCGGGAGCTGACGATGTAGCCGGTGACGTCACTACAGTATTTACCCAACTGAGTGGCATAAGCCGTGGAACCTTGAATAAATACAAAGAACCATTGTGTTGTCGGTTAAAAGAGATACTCATGGTAGAAACACTGAAGCCAACTTGAGGCTATGAATACTAATTATTGACCAGTGATAATTGCAAACCAATGCATTTCGAAGGAAAATATGATTAAAAGTATACTGATGTACTTTTGGTTTAAGGAACATTGTTCTTACCATCTGTGAAGAGCACGTAGTCATTAGAACATGATGAATCGTACTCCATAGAAATAGTTTGAACTTCAACCTTTACTTTATATCCAACAGGTGCAAAGACTGTCCACTTGCAGTTTATATTGCTGTTAGGAAAGAGATGAAAAGATTACATGAAATATAGCACTGTGTTATGACGACAAGTCAAAACAATACACAAAAGCTTGCTGCATCAACACACGTTTCAGCAGTTCCAATATCCTTTTGTCCCCAACACTCTCAATCAATATTAGGTTTGTTCTACCTGATAAATCTCTATAATCCCAACACTTTGAATTTAGACATTTCAAAACGTTCGCCCTGCCACGTTCCTCACTAGGGAAGGTGATAAATAGTATACATTGTTGGCTATGCTTGATGTGCTTTCGTGCAAGAAAAGTCATCAAGGATTAAATGATTCCTTCTGGAGGGGCTGTGAAGGTGCAGGGCTAGAACAGACCATTTTCGTATTGAAGGAATTACTGTATTAACTTGCCAGTGATCAAAACCGGTTATCAACTGAGATGATGCATATATCTTCTTACTTGTTGTAGTTGTAGTATGGGTACCCAGGGGATGACAAAGACCTCCAGGAATATTTGCTGGCGCTGAGCATTGAACTACCGCAATCAGAAACATGCGGTCTCTCTGAAAAATATAAATTTGGAAGCGATGAATTTTTCAGTCAGAATTGTGCTGACAATTGGTAAGCGCTTTCAGAGTTATAAACGGTAGGGCTGTTTGTAGCTGAAAAGGCAAATAAACGCATTGATTATGCAAATTTACAAGTATTACAGAAATAGCTGGTAAAGATCATACAAGATACAATTTTCATTGAAGATCGATACATTTTCAATTGACTCCCTCCACCTGCATAATTGAGGGCGTTTTTTTTATTTATACAAAGGTAAAGTGTTTAACATGTGATTTCCCTGAACAAGGGATCAAGTAAATATGATGTCACTATCGTCAATGCGACCCGTGAAGATCCGGGCTAGAATTGATCTTCAGTAAACCATGTTGGTCGTAAGAGGCGACTACCGGGATCGGGTTGTCAGGCTCGCTGACTTGGTTGACACATGTCATCGATTCCCAGTTGCGTAGATCGATGTTCATGCTGTTGATTACTGGATTGTCTGGTCCAGACTCGATTATTTACAGACCGCCGCCATATAGCTAGATTATTGCTGAGTGCGGTGTAAAAGTACACTCACTCACTCACTCACTTCCATGTGACGGAAGATGCGGAGAGATCTGATAATCCACAGTCGTCAGCTGTAACAGCCAGCCGAGTGAAAAAATAAACACAATAAAAATAGTTCGCAGTTAAACAAAATGTAATTGACGATTTGTGATACCCAAGAGGGGCTGTATGGGATGAAAATCAGCACACTTTATGGTTCATAGAGTGTATTCAGATGAAGACAGATGAGATATTCGCCAGAATGCTCCAAATGATCCAAAGTCTTTCAGTTAAAGATCCCCTGAAGGGATAACAGTGTACAAATAGCTACTCACACAAATTATGTTATTCTGCTCACCAGGAATGTATAGTTTCCCATTGAAGACTTTTTAAAAGTTAAAATACATTTGCTAAGCTTATTTACAGTTGCTGAGATTATTACCAGATGAGTACTGCAAACGAAAGCCTCCTCCTGTGACAGCATGGTCTGAGTGAAACATGATGGCCATATGGTTACTTGAGCTGATGATGGGAACAGAGCTACGTTCACAAATCTTTGCCAGTTGCTGAGCATCGTCCGTCGTACCTTTAACGTAAATGTATTAATTGTGCATCTTTAATTAATTAATGAGTTCAGTTGTACTTGTAAATATATTTGATTTATTCACTATGCAATCAAAGAACAAATACGTTAGTTAGTTTGGAAAGACCTAAGTGAATTATTCGTTACCAAGGTTCGATACAACTGTAACGGTAAATAAATACTGACGATATACGCAGGGAACAGTATTGTTCTTCAAGGCAGCCGTATGTTCGGAACATAATAAAAATGACACAGTTATGATTACTGTTAGAAATACAACACTTTTCATGCACTTTATCCTCATCATGAATTATAGTTGATAAAACGAACCTTTCACTTGAGTTACTTGATAATTACTTACATAATTGAAGATTGATTGGCATACCCAAAAATGCCAAAAACTGTCTAAAAGCAAAACGTTCTAATACAGACAATGTCCCTGCTCACGATTACTCAGACATTTTCAAGCAACTTGACACTTTCGAGCGTAAAAAAATGCATTAATGTTTTCGAAGATGAGTTTTGGCGCTGTGCATTCCTTCCATTTACACTAATCACCATTGCAATGGCGAAATTATAACATTCACTCACCAATTTTGAAAAAAAATAAGAATTTGAAATTTCATATACCATTATTATCTGTGTTTCTGTTTTGGGAGGCTATAGATAAAGTAGTGATCATGAAAATATCAAGACTACACTTTTTTTTCCTTGTCTCATGTCAAAGAACTTTTGCTACGACTGCTTTCCTCATTACCAAGAGGAACACAGCATGCGTCCTAAGATTTACGTACCATCTTTGAACAGTAGATAATCAGCCACACACGATGACACCTTTTCCAAATCAAGAAACAAAACTCTCACTGTGATGAGGCTTCCATTTGGCGCATTTATAGTCCACTGACAGTCCAATCCCCTGCAAGGAAAAATAAACATACAGTCAAATCCCGATGAATCGAATCGCTGGGGACCAAGTAATACATTCGACTTATCGATGTATTCGAGACATAGGTGTGTCTATGAGGTTAGAAAAAAAGATGATCCAGGCCTAATTCCTCCGCCTAAGCATTTGTTTATCTAATGATTTCCATATCACTAACAGGGGCACCTTATCAGTTCCAGTCTGATTAGCACAGACAGTGATTTCCGTAAAATCACTAATCTGCCTTTTGAACTCACCCGTCAATGGGCACCCATGAAAGGCCACCTCCTCGTGGTGGGTGCTGGGTCACGCTAAGCGCCTTTCAACCCCCCGTTGTGGACCCGGGGGGGATATTTTGGTCCACCAACCCGTTTGCCGTGGGTTGCGCCCCCTGTGTCGGTGGAGGAAGGGAGGCTGGTGGTTGAGGGCATTGGTTCCAGGATTAGCGTTCCTTTGCCCAACACACCACTTCGCCCCTTACTTCACCTAGACGGGTGGTTGAATGGGCCCGGTTCAACCAATCGGCTGGTCTCGCCAAGCCCTGAGCACACATTATGTAATGTTGCACAAAATTTTGAATATTGTAACTTCTATTTTTAAGTCTTGGCGAATTTTTAGAGCTTTTTGAATTTCAACTATACAATTTCATACGTGTTTTTGCCTAGAGTCGTATGCCCAGAAGGCGGTGGCTCATGGGCCAATCAGGTGGAATATTTACTTTTGTATTATTCTGCTTGCGTATATCATCCGGGTATCCTTGGTGCTGCAGGCTGGAAACCCGCCTGTTTTTTAGCATTGTCCTTGTGATACTCCGTGGAGGGTGGGGAGCTCGGATGATGAACCATTCAACAATTACTATGGCTTACGAAACCCCCATTACGAAAAAGAAACGTCCACTTGACACTGATCCTGATGTTAACGACCAAAGACTGCCCACATCCATTGACTACTGGCCACGTTTCATTGTGATTGAGACCGTTGACAAAACACCTTTAAAGCTGAACCCTTTTGCTGTATCAAAAGGCATACAAGGCATTGCAGGAGATGTTAAAAACATTAAACGTTTGCGGACAGGTGCACTTCTAGTTGAATGTAGTAGAAAACCACAGGCTACTAACCTCCTGTCAACTGACTCATTTGTCGGCATTCCTGTATCAGTCTCTGCCCACCGAACGCTTAACACCAGCAAGGGCATAGTAAGAGACCGGGACAGACTTTTTACTGACATGCTGGAAATAGATATTGTCTCCGAGATGAAAGAGCAAGGTGTTATATATGTTAAACGCTTCACAACCCGGAAAAATAATGAAACCCATCTAACAAACACGTATCTGTTCTCTTTCTCCACTCCGACTGCTCCAAAGTCAATAAAGGCTGGTTACTGTCACATCAAAGTGGATACCTACATACCAAATCCACTGAGATGCTTCAAGTGCCAGAAGTATGGTCATGGTGTCAATACCTGCACATTGTCTGTTGTGTGTGCTCACTGTGGTGAGAAAACACACACAACAGAAGATTGTGACAGTACTTACAAAAGTGCACCAATTGTTCAGGAGACCATCCCTCTTTCTCTAAAGAGTGTCCGATTTGGAGACATCAGATGGAAATAAACAGAATCAAATTTACTCAGAATGTTAGTTTTGCGAAGCAAAACAACTTGTACAAAGATGCGACCAACAAGAGACATATGCTTCAAAACCAGAAAACCATCTGAGGCAACTCGAGAAATACCTAAATCATCTTCCAGCTGCCAAACAAATTTGACTTGGGTAAAACCGATTCTCCTCAGATTTTTCAAGTGCAATATCGACTCAAACAGCGGAGCCACTTTCTGGCATGTCTCAAACTCAATCAGAGCAAGTTCCTGATCCTGACGCATCCTCTCAGTCAACCACAAAGTCTCAATCGCTATCTAATGTCCATCAAATTGCTAAAGGCATGACTAAAACTAAGCCTGATTATTCAAAAAAACAAAGTGGCAGAGCCCCAAAAGGGTCTGAAAATAAAATCAAACTTTATAACAAATATGGATCACTTGAGGACATGGACGTGTCCGAAAACGTCCAATATAGGGCACACAGCTTGTCGCCCTCCAAAACAGTCTTGGGGTAGATCCCCAATAAATCCAAAAAGATAGTTTATTCCAATAATGTTGTACAGTGGAATTGCAGAGGACTAAGGCATAATTATAATGAATTACTGTTATTAGTCCAGGATTGTATGCCGTCCAGCATTCTGTTTGCAGGAGACTTATTTAAAGCAGACAGATCATTTTGACCTACGTTATTTCAATGCTTATCATTCTTTCTCACCTCCGGGTGACAGGGCCACGGGAGGTTCTTCAATCCTAGTCAAACAGAATGTTATCCATAGCCCTCTTACACTTACTTCTAATCTTCAAGCAGTT